TACCAAAATAAAAAAATATTGTGTTGAAAAATCCTCATATAGTTTATATGTGTATATATAAAATATATGTTAAGGCTAAAGCTAATGTCCTGTCATATGTTGATATATAATTATATTGCTAAGTAATATCTTAAATAAAAAAACCAAAACCAGAAGTAAGCTCCAGAATTGTTATATGCAGTATGACCTCATTGTATAAAAAATGCATAGGAAAATAAAAACTGGAAGAAGTTATCCAAAAATGTTAACCATGGGTCTTTGGTGGTAGAATTATGGATGATTATTTCCTTTTTATTTTCCTTCCTTTTGAAAATATCCCACAGTACATATGCATTACTATTGTAGTGAGAAAAATGTTTAGTTTCCAAAAAAAAAACATCATTAGGAACAAATAAATGTGGTACAGACTAAATAAAATGATACAAAGTGTTTTTTCTCTATATATAATGCTATACTATTATTAATACCTCTAGTTTTTGTATAACTTTACAGTTTATAAAATGCTTTCGGTTAAGTCATTTTCGTTTAATTCTCACAACTCTAAACGTGTACTGTTACTAATCCCATAGTTCTTTGTTTTTTGCAATTTATCACGTGTCTAAAAATAGTGTCAAGGGAGATTGGGAGTTAATTGGAAGAAATATACAATGGCATATAAGTAATGAGCTTGGCTCAGAAGAATCCAGTGATTGACAGAGGTAATATTAACTCTCACAGGAATGGCCTGTGCAATAATATTAATGTTCCATTTGTTCTCTACCCCTTTCTTTCTTTTAGCAGGTGGCTACCCAGGCTACAGCCAAGACTCGTTCTTCCCAATTTGGTGTAGGCAACTTTCAGACTCCATCCTCCTTCAGCCCCATGTCCCTCCCTGGAGCTTCCACTGCATCACCTGGTGCCGCTGCCTACCCAAGTCTCACCAATCGTGGATCCAACTTTGGTGAGTTCAGACTAGAAGGAGAAAAATCACACCACTAAAGTGAAAGGATTTTGGGCTTCCCTGGTGGCGCAGTGGTTAAGAGTCCCCCTGCCAATGCAGGGGACACGGGTTCGAGCCCTGGTCCGGGAAGATCCCACGTGCCGCGGAGCAGCTAAGCCCGTGCACCACAACTACTGAGCCTGCGCTCTAGAGCCCGCAAGCCACAACTATTGAGCCCGTGTGCTTAGAGCCCGTGCTGCACAGCAAAGAGAAGCCACTGCAATGAGAAGCCCGCGCACCACAGCGAAGAGTAGCCCCCGCTCGTCGCAACTGGAGAAAGCCCGCGTGAAGCAATGAAGACCCAGTGCAGCCAAAAATAAATAAATAAAATAAATAAATTTATTTTAAAAAAAAGAGAGAGAAAGAATTTCATAGTTAAAATGGCTTGCTTTTGTCACGGCTGTACTGACCTAATTATAGGAAAATGCAAGGTGACAGTCCATTTGGAATATAAAACATACCCACATGAAAAAGACTTTAGCACATATAACAAAAAGCATGTAAAGTATTATAAATTTAATAATATGCAAGTATAGTGTGAATGAGCAAAGGACTCTCTGGAAAGGGTACCTAGAGAAGAAAAATGAATCTGAGACCAGGGTTTGAAATAGGAGAGGCATTGATTTGCAGAAAGAAGGGCAGAAAGTGTCTAGGTAAAATTAATGATTTGCATGTGATAATATGCTAGTTTCTCCTCTCTAGTGGAGTTAGCAGATTGAAGTTGTTTATTCTTCCTTGCTGTATTTTTAGCTCCTGAGACTGGACAGACTGCAGGACAATTCCAGACACGGACAGCAGAGGGTGTGGGTGTCTGGCCACAGTGGCAGGGCCAGCAGCCTCATCATCGTTCAAGTTCTAATGAGCAACATGTTCAACAGCCATCAGCACAGCAACCTGGCCAGCCAGAGGTCTTCCAGGTGAGAGGGTGAACGGACTTCAGAAAACCAGAAGCTGGGAGAGAGTCAGGGATGAGAGACAGAGAAGAAAGCATGCATGGATTCAGGTGTTTGATTGAGGTTAGTAAGAAGAGAAGAAAAGAGTCAAGACATATAGGAATAGATGTCATTAATTGAAAAGATTGTGAACTTAGTGTGCTGCACAGCCTTTAACCAGACCATCGTTAGTGATGTGAAGCACCATGTGAAGACATCAAAAAAAGTAATTTTGGCCCATTCACGGAGACCCATGTGCCCGCTTGATAGTACTTTAGGTATAAAAATACTGAATACAGCTCTAAAGGTCTATTTACATACATCCTGAGGGGACTGCAAGAGTCAGTGGAGTAATCTCAGGTGGGACAAAGGAGGAGCTTAGTTTAAAACACAGGTCGAAAGAAGGCAAAACAAGGTTTTGGTGGAAAACGTAATAGGATAAGAGATATTCCATATGTATCCAGAGGGGGGTTTTATGAAATGTGACAAGCAGATTTTTCTCGTTTTGAAAATACTGAGGTCTAGAAAAGAGGGAAAATGTGGAACTGTAGGAGGAAGACAGAGAAGGAACTAGGAAAAAAGTTGTCATCTAAAGGAGTCAGTGTTGCTGGGAGTAAGGAAGGCTAAGAGAACTCAGCACAGCAGAAACTCTCTGGGGCCAGAGATGACAGTTCAGGGGAATGTTGGGAGGCAGCTTGATAAATGTAAAGGATCAAGGTGTGTGACCCAAACTTATTCTTTTTCACTTATTAGGAGATGCTGTCCATGCTGGGAGACCAGAGCAACAGTTACAACAATGAAGAATTTCCTGATCTAACTATGTTTCCCTCCTTTTCAGAATAGAACTATTGGGGTGAGGATAAGGGGTGGGGGAGAAAAAAAAGATCACCATTTGTTTTTAAAAAGCAAATCTTACTATAAACAGAATAAAAGTTCCTCTCCCTTCCCTTCCCTCACCCCTGATGTATACCCCCTTTTCCTTCTGACCTTTCCCTTGTCTTCCTTGTTTCTCTCTGAGATAACATTTATAGAAGAAATGGAGTGAATCCTCAAGGCTTTGGGGACCCTTTGAAAAATTGAGACTGGATAAGGTTAAGAATGCCTTTCCTTATGTCTCCTGACCAGAAATTTTGTGCAGAGATGATTTGTGCTGGGTCAAGCGGCAGGTTAGAGAACCTGGCATCCACTATTTGTCTTGGATACTATGGCTTATTTCTGGAAAGAAATTCTCAATAAGGTGGAGGAGGGGAGAAATGTCCTCATGTTTGAGGACCATGAAGCATGGTAGGTATACATGGGGCTTTAGGAAGTGAGCATAGGCTCTTTCTGCTGCCTGTGAGCAATTCCTCTGGAAAGAAACATGAGTAAGGAAGTGTGAGAGAGAGAGAGTGTGTGTGTGTGTGTGTGTGTGTGTGTGCGCGCGTGTGCATGCATGCATGCGTGTGTACATGAGCACGTGCACGTTTGTTTCTGTGTTTCTTTCTCCCTATTGGGGAGTTATGCAAAATTTGTCCCAGATTTTGTCTTTCTTTGTGTTTTTTAAACAGTCCTAAGGAGTTAACTCTTCCAGGTATTTTCCACTTAGTATTGCAGCCAAAGAGTATTTAAATAAATGTCTTTGCTGCACTTATATCTATGCCCAGTCAATAGGCAACTATAAGCAAATATATAAAAAGTCTTCTATTGAAATCGTTGGTTTCTCATCGAACACATATAGTGATAAAGATGGGTCATTCCTGCTTTTGGTGCTCTCACCTTATATGGAAGATCTGTAAACATTACAGAAGTAGGCTGGCAAGATAAACACTTTTAGAAACCCCCTACTTGGCCATAATGATAATGCTGCATTTTTCTGTCAGAATCACATATGATGTGTGTTCTGTAGAGGTTATATATGCATGGAAACTCAACTTCTTGGATTAGCAGTCCCAGTGAAAATCCTCACTGGTGGAGTTTAAACCAAATACCAAACCTTCTTGCAAAGTAACCTCTTTCATCCCATTCTCAAAGTATCCAGTCTGCAAGAAACGGAGATTTAGGTCTCTTCTGGGCCTATAGTTCTTTCCTCTTTGCTCCCTTTCCAATCTTGAGATTGGATTTTGCTTTATAGTACAAGTGTAATAAATCCATGTGATAGATGGGACCTGGACTCCCATCCCAACAGGGTCACTCAGCAATTAACTATAGCCATATAAACGCGGATACAGGTTACTACTCTCACTCTTTCCCTTCCTCAGGTAACAGCCATGTGTATCGGCCTTTTTTTGTTTATTTGTTTGGCTCAGGCCAGTATCTTAAGTGCAAGATTGAATAAGGAGAAGACATACTAAGTGTAGCCATAGGGGACTGAGGAACATAGGTGGCCTTGGAGAGGCTGAAAGAATGTCATTAGGTTTCCCTCCCTTTTGTCTCCAATCTGGTGCCAGGTAGTGGAATGGAAAAGGAGACAGTTTATTTTTTTATTCTATGTGCACACATACAATATACATATATATTTATATCACAGTTTAAGAAACCAAAAAGTTGAGTTTCCAATGAAATCCTTGTTTTTTAATAATCAGCTGTTTTTAAATGTGATCAGGACTATAATATTGTACAGTTATTATAGGGCTTCTGGGGAAGGGGAGGGGCGGGAGAAGATGCTCTGGGGGTTTTGTTTCTGCTTTTCCTTCAGGGTTTTATTTTTGATTGTTTTTTTTCCTTGTTGGCCATTTCTGTACTGCTGGCATCTGTGCTGAGCCTTACAGTGGCAAAAATAATGACATGTAGCAAAGATTTTAAAACAAAATATTTTTTCCTTTTGTAAACTTTCCTGTGTTGTGTGATCTTGATTGCGGCTTTATTATTCCTTCCCAGCTCATAAACAACAAACACCCACAACTAGTTGAATCCATAACTTGCGCTTCAAATATACAAACATAAAAGCACAGTATGTCTATAATTTCAGGAATCAGAAATCATAGGGCTCTGATCACTCAGCGTTCCTTGGTTGTCCTCCTGATCTTGACTCATTCTGAGTAAAATCATCAGAAACATCTGACCATGGGATGGGGGGTGGGAGATTGCCCAAGTCCTTGGGAGAGGGGGAATGTTGGGACTTGAGACCAATAGGGCACTTCTGGATTTAAAGGTATTAAGAATGGGGAAATTTAAACTATTCAGGTCTAGACCTGGTTTCCCTCTAGGACAATGTGTTTCATTAGGAAATTTAAAAAACCCATAAGCATAAGCCTGTGTTCTTGAGGGTCTATGTGTGTAATCCAGCTAGAAACTGACTCTAGATCCCATGTGTTATCCTTTTTGTCCCCAGGACCCCTTTTCCTCTTCGCACACATCTGTTTATGGAAGAAAATGTTTGGGGTTGTGGTTTAGGGACTGAACTAGATTCTTATGATCTGTCACATGCCTGGATGTTGAGGGAAGCATTTGGTGAAGCTCATATGACTGGACCTGGATTGGGGATTTTAATAATTGAGACAGATAATGTTCATCATCCCACCATCTGAGAGTTGTAGCAACAAAGAAGTCACATGTGAATTTGTCAGTGCTTATGGCATTGATTCAAGTGCTGTCATAAATAACCAGGAATACTGTTTCTGGTTACTTTTAGAACTGGTTTCATCAGGACTTTTCTGGACGTATCCTTCCTCAGCAAAACCATGTTAGTCTGGGAAAGATATTCCCCTGCCTGGAAGAAATGACAGCTTTTAGTCAACAAGTTTATAAAATACAAATGATTTTGGAGCCTGTGACTTCCCCTACATACTTTTTTCTAGCCTTTTGTGTTCATTTCCTCATCCCTCATGTGAGGATCAGACATATTGGAAAACTGAGGTTTCAAAGTTGGAGAGATGAATAATAACGGGAAAGGGACTGGAAAGTTGTAATCCCCCAGTGTAATAATATTTTGTCCACGAAAGAGAAGGTAAGCCGCAACTTGGATAATATGTATTGAGGTCTTTTTTTTGTCTGCTCTCAAAGGCAGGCAGCCACGTGAAACTAAATACCTAACTCTCTGCCCTGGCACACATGCTCCACATGCGCACACAGAAACGATGCAAATCTGCTGCCTCCTTCCCTCCTCCCTAATCCCCCTCTCTTAGTATTTCTATCTCCACTGCCCTCCCCATCCAAATTTTCCAGCCAACAGCTACAGTTGACTTCCGCAATCCTGATGGAATAAATCCAGCACCCCTAGTCATCCGCCCACATTATCCACACTTCTCTGCTGAGACGAGCCCAGAGAACAGATCCCCATCAGCAGGTAACATTTTCAACTTCCTAGATCTTTTAGCTTCTCATTCCTTTCAGTTCTCCATTTTAAGGAATATTAGGAACGTAGTGACGTGGGGATCAAAATGAACTTTATAGACTTTGCAGACGAAAACAGTGATGCCCTTCTTAGGTTATTTCCTGGCTAAGTAAAATTTGCCTGGAAATCTTTAGGACTCCTTTTACGGTTTGTGTGTATGTATACATGGTTATTAGTGAAAGCAAAGAATATAGGGCATCCTTTACCCATCCCTCAAGGAGTGACCTCTCAGGGTTGGTATTTTTTTGCGGGGGGAGGTGCGGGGGTGGGTGGGCAGGTACCAAAAGGGTTAACTTACTAGCAGGGGGGAGGAGTGGTGCAGGGAGGTGGTAGCTCAGTAAGGTCTTCCTACTGTTTGAGACATCCCAAAGCCCTTAACACTCCAGATATTAAACGTCCTCCTGGACATTTTGCCAGTTTGCAAAGATTACACAAAAATGGACTATAAATTCAAAATTTATGCAAGCTGTGTGACTTGATGCAGACTAACTTGCTCTTAAAATGGAGGACATGAAATTAGCAAGACACTGCGAGAAGTGAATGAAGCTAGAGTAAACTTCTGAAAAGCTGTGTATCTAATAATCACAGAACATTGCTTTTCTGTCTTACATTCTTCTAACAAACTTTGGTTCTGAGGCTTTTTGTCCTGTGAGGCAGTCACAGAGGTTTTGTGGGCTTTTTGGTCAGAAAAAGAAAAACTTTCCTGCCCACAGCAGCTGGTTGAGATTAGGACAGTTTCCTGCCTGAGGAAGGAGCAGGAAGAGAAAGGAGGAAGAAATGCATAAGAAGACTGAGGAGACAGTAAGCATCTCATAGTTTGAGAATAGGAAATGCTGTCAGCTTTTCCCTTGTCCTCTCCTAGCAAGATCAGAAGTATCAGAATTTAGGCAAGGAACAATAGAATGCCTTGAAGAAATGATCAGGAAGCAAAACTTAGCTGAAAATCTCTCCTTTGTGTATTCTCCGACCCCACTCGTCCCACCCTGCACTTACCTTGTCTATCTCCTCCAAGTCTACTGGGGACACTGGCGCAGACAGGTGTTGTCCCATCCTGATTGTCCATTTCCTATCCCATTGCTGGTTATCTGTGCAAGTGTATCTGTGTGTGGGGGGTGTGTGTGTGTGTGTGTGGAATCTCCCTAGGTCAAAATACTTGTAACCAGATGTATCAGCATCCCACCCAAACCCAGAACCCTCCTGACTATCACTGTTTTTATCATATGGAAGTCATCCTCAATCTCCGTCTACCTTCCTTGTAAAGCCTAGTTTTCCTCTGCCTCGTGGTCCAGAGGAAGGCGTTCTTAACTTCGGGTTCATGAACCCCCCAGAATTATTGTGTGTGCATTCATTTTTCTGGTAAGAGGGACTAAAGTGGGTTGAAAATTTTTATTAGCTTGTCGTGGGAGTCTATGAGTCCCAAAGGTTAAGAACCACCTGTCTGAGAATATGGTTCCAGCTATTTCCTCATCCCAAGCCAGGTTAGGAACCTCTGGGCAAATAGAAGAGTGTCCCCTAATTATCCCCTTCTCCAGGATGTGGGGGCTCAAGGTTCTACTACTGCTGCCTGTGGTGAGCCTTGCTCTGTACCCCGAGGAGATGCTGAACACCCAGTGGGAGCTATGGAAGAAGACCTACAGAAAACAGTATAACAGCAAGGTGCCTGGGAACCTGGAGGGGAACATGGTGGGAAGGTTGGAACCTGAGACATCTAATCCTAGCTTCCAGACTCCCTTCTTCAACCCCAATACTTTAACCACTACAACCAAGCAAACCTGCCCCTGGTCCCTAACTGTTAACATATACTTTCCATTACTACTCCTCAATTCACTCTCCATCAAGTCCTGTCCTTCCTTTTCTTCATAACTGTCTTATATTTCTCTTTTGGGAAGCCTTCTCAGATTAATGCTATTAATCCGTAAGCAATTATTTTCCTATATGTCTCTCCAGAGCTTGCATTCTATTATTTGTTTTATATATTTCTTTTGCATGCTCTTAATAATCCCATGGTCAGTTCCCCAACTAGATTGTAAACCCTCTATGACTGTAAATTTAATCTCTTCTAGAAACCTTCACAGTATTATGTAGATAACTTTGTACACAGGACACAGTCTATGCCAATACTGACTATGCTCTGTTTAGGTGGATGAAATCTCTCGGCGTTTAATTTGGGAAAAAAACCTGAAGCATATTTCCATCCATAATCTCGAGGCCTCTCTTGGTGTCCATACATATGAACTGGCCATGAACCATTTGGGGGATATGGTGAGTTGATCCTTAGCTCCTGGTCTACCTGCCCTGTTTGTCTTGGTTCCCTGCTTATGCCTGGCCTCTTTCTTCTTTGTCCCAGACCAGTGAAGAAGTGGTTCAGAAGATGACTGGACTCAAAATACCCGCCTTTCATTCCCGCAGTAATGACACCCTCTATATCCCAGACTGGGAAGGCAGCCCAGACTCTATTGATTATCGGAAGAAGGGATATGTTACTCCTGTCAAAAACCAGGTACCCTCCTTCCTCTTGGGTGTGGGTATGGAAACTGGCATGACCTCTCCCTTCTTCTGCTTCTTTGTTCTTAAGGTAGGAGGGCATCAGAAAAAGAGGGCAAAGAATTAAGTTACCTCTCCCCCTGCTAAGAGAATAAAGGCTATTCTGTTATTTAACTCATCATCTGTTTTTGTAGATTTAGGTTATTTCTGTTTTTTCTTTTCTACAAAGTGTTGCTGTAAGCACCTGTGTGCATATATTTTTGTGAATATATACAAATATTTATGCAAAACAAATCCCAAAATTGGAATCAGTAGGTCACAGAATCCTCTCCAAAAAAGTTTGTATGATCTTACATTCTTACCAGCATGAGAATGTAAGTTTTCCCACAACCTTAACAAGGCTGATTTTATCCACCAGATGAACACTTGATTTAACATTCATTCAACAAACACATTTTTTTCAGAACCTACCAGATATAGTGCTAGGCAGTAGAGATTCAAGATGACTAAGACATAACCTGTGTCCTCAAGAAATCCCCAGTTTTAAAAAATAGAACAGGAAAGAAAGAAAAATGTATAATCTAGCTGAAGAAACACTAATAATAATAGCCAGCACTTTTTGAGAGATTATTATTATTACACATAATAATTCATCCTTTACATGAATTAACTTTCTAAATTCTCATAATTCCATTAAGTATATTGTAATTATCCACAATTTACACATAAAGAAAGTGAGGTACAGAGAGGTTTAGTAATTTACCCAAGGTTACACATCTAGTGCGTTGCAAAACCAGTACAGGTGGTCCCCAACTTCTGATGGTTCACCTTATGATTTTTTGACTTGATGATGGTGTGAAAGTGATAGGCATTCCATAGAAACTGTACTTCAAATTTTGAATTTTGATCTTTTCCCAGGCTAGGATATGTGGTACGAAACCTTTTCTTGATCTTGGCCTGTGGTAGAGAGCCGCTGCTCCCAGTCAGCCACATGATCACGAGGGTAAACAACCAATACACTTGCAACCAGTCTGTTTTTCACTTTCAGTACAGTATTCAATAAATTACGTGAGATATGCAACACTTTATTATAAAATAGGCTTTGTGTTAGATAGTTTTACCCAACTGAAGGCTAACGTAAGTGTACTGAGCACATTTACGGTAGGCTAGGCTAAGTTTTGATGTTCAGTAGGTTAGGGGTATTAAATGCATTTTCAACTTACTATATTTTCAATTTATGATGGATTCATTGGAGGAAGAGCTGTATTCTGCTTTACTACAGCTAATGGTAACAATAGTAACAACAGTTATCAACAGCAACAATAGCAATAGAACACTGCAACAAAGGTTAAATGAAGGGAAATAGGAAGACTTCACAGCAAAGGGGACAGGTGCTGAAATTTATAAAACATGGAATTTCATCAGGCAGGTAGAAGGAAGAAACAAAAAGTGTGAACAGCAATGACTGGTAGTTTCTCTGTTATGCCTCTCAGGGTCAGTGTGGTTCCTGTTGGGCTTTTAGCTCTGTGGGTGCCCTGGAGGGCCAACTCAAGAAGAAAACTGGCAAACTCTTAAATCTGAGTCCACAGAACCTGGTGGACTGTGTGTCTGAGAATGATGGCTGTGGAGGGGGCTACATGACCAATGCCTTCCAGTATGTGCAGAAGAACCGGGGCATTGACTCTGAAGATGCCTACCCGTATGTTGGACAGGTGAGACTGTCCCATGCAGTCATACAGCTCTGTAATGGCTCCTCCTTCCCCAGTATGACATTTTGTACTGGAAACAAGTCCAGAAATCTTGTTTTCTGTTACCCTATCCAGCCTTCTTGATGGGATAATTTCCCACAGAAGCCAAGAAGATTCCCACAGTCTGGGAGAATTTGGGGAGCTTAGGCTACCATGGTTCCTATCTGCCTTTCTGCCCTGAAGAAAAAACAGAGGACAGGTTATCCCATAGATCTCTGAGTCAGTCTCTGTAACTCTGCAAAATTCCTCCACTCCCATCACAAGTCTCCAGGCCCACCATGCTAATTTCATGAATCACTTGGCCTTATTTTGTATGATCTCAGTGTGGGTTTGGGGAACATTTAAGCAAATTATGTAAGTTAACATGCTAACATGTATAAAATGAGGGAAAAAGCAAGTTGCTTCATATTTATTGCAGTTTTAGAGATCAACTCACTTCCTCCTATAAGGTCCTTTAGTAATAGGAAGATCTTTCTTATCTAAAAGGAAGAAGATCTGAGGGCTTTTTATATACATGGGGTTGATAGATAATATAATATGGGGCCTTTGCAATAAGAGCCTTTGAAGCAGGGATAACAAGGCTGAGTAATACAAATGATGGCTACCATGTGCTAAGCCATGTACTTAGTACATGTTCTCATTTAATCCTCATAAAAGCCCTGTACGGTACCCTTGTCCTCACTTTATAGGTGAGGACATTGACACTTAAGGAGATAAAATAGCATATTCAAACTCACACCTCTAGTTATGTAGCAGAGCCAAGATCTATCTATTGGATCTGTTTATCTGCTGCAAACATTCCCGGGCACGTCTTCTATGCACATGTACAAGAATTTCTTTACTAGAATATAATATCTAGTAACAGAATTGTCTGAGTCTTGGGGTATGTGCATCTTCCTCTTTACTAGATAATGTCAAATTATTTACCAAAGTGTTTGGAAAAATTTGTATTTCCCACCTGCACAGTATAAGAAATCCTATTGATTCATCTCTTCATTGGTATGCTTATCTGGCCATTTGCATTTCTTCTTCAGTGAATTGACTGTTTATATCTTTTCCCATCTTTAGGTTATGTTCTCCTTTTTACTGATTTTTAGGAATTTAAAAAAGATATTTGGATACTAATACTATGTGTGTTGTGAGTCTATTTTTCTTTTCATTCTCTTTATGATGTCTTTCAATCCAGAAAAGTTTTTAATTTTAGTGTAGAAAAATTATTAATTTTTTTCCTTTGCAATTTGTGCCTTTAAAAAATCCAGTAACAACGAGTTTTATTTATTCGTGTTTAGTCATCTGAAATAGTATCTCCTGCAACAAAAATGCTCATTAATGTAAATGACTGAACAGATCCATTTTACTGGATACTCAGCAACCTACATAGTAATGTCATTTCAGCACATTTCAGCACATCATCGTGACATTGGCCACATCAAAGCTACTTCATTTCAAAAATGTCATGCCATTAGTATTCCATGTTATGGTTTTTTTTAGCTGTCAGGTAAATAAGTCAGAGAAGTTGGAGGTTGTATGTGGAAAGCTTTTTCTTTACTCTGTGTACAGTTCTCAGTCCATATCTGACCCTGGGGCTGCTGCCATAAGGCGCAGCACACTGAAGCTGTCCTAAAAGGTTAGCTTTTGAATTCTGAGTACATCAGGCCAGTCAGTGAGATAACCTGGGCGTGGTAAAATATTCTTTTTTAAACTGTCAAATATTCTCCTGACAACTTTTTGTTGTCACTTGACATCAAAAAAATTAAACAAATCCTAACAGTGTATACAAAAAAACAGATTCATGTTTATAACTTTTTTTATATTGATTAATCCAGGCAACCAATTTAAAGCGTTGTCTAACTATATTAAAAACATAACTTAAATATTATTAGAGCTAGTAGTTGATCACTTATCCACTGACAGCTTGCATCATTATTCAGTACTATATTAACCAGTTTGTTGAGAGACAGTTTAACTAATAACTCAGAAACTCTGAATAATTTAAAGGAAAATTACATAACATTTGAAACCCTATTTTGGAATAGAAGGAGGAATTGACTTATAATCTCTGTTCTCCTGCCCCCTCAAATGATCTCGTCAGCATTTTAGAGAAATGTGCAATGATTTTGGTCTCATAATCAATTAAAATGAAGAATTAGCCATATAAAACATGTGTTCCATTTTTAACATTCTGAATCTTGGACAACTGTTCTCTTTTCTACTTTACAGTTTTTAAAAGCAGTTATTGTCCAAAACTGAAAGAACTTCTTATATGAACGTGTAAATGAATGGAAGGAGGTAACAAAAAACAAAATTTAAAAAAAGAAAAGATCTGATAGGGCAGCAGCCAGATAATACAGTAATTTAAGTTCACTCCAGCCATAATACAGGTTATTTTTAAAGTATCATCACGTGGTATACTTCCAAACCCATTCCCTAGATATTTTATTTTACTTGTAGATCTATGCAATTTTTGGCGCTAGGAGGCATCAAGGGTTTGGATCATAAGGCAGATAAAGGAATCTTGAGAAATTATTAAGACAGGAGACTACTGTAATCTTAGAATATCATGTCAACTGCTGCCATTATTGTTAATATTTAGACAATGTATTCTTGTAGATGCAACTTCAGGGTTTTGAAGGGGTAGTCTGTAGGAAAATGAACTGCCAAAAAGAATACACCACCTTGATGTGGGTTCCCGTTAGATTCCATAATTGTGGCTTGACAATGAAACATATCATCGTTAACTAGACCTGCAAAACATAACATAGCCTGGAAATTCACAAGCTAAATTGCTAAGTTCTTTATTAATTTGTTTTAGTGTCATGTTATGTGCTTTTATCTCATGAGAGCACAAGGGTCCAGCCAGAACTCTTTGCCTGTTATATGTGCATGGGGCCAAGGTCCTCCCTCTAGCTGGGCCTTGGCCTTGGCCTCCTTCCCACACAGCAGCTGCTGCCTCCCTGCCTGCTGAGGATCACACATGCTACATTGCTGGAAGATGATTTGTGCTTTTAAACAAATCTTATTTCAGAAATCTTTCTCTACCCTGAGGTAGAAATAAAAAATATTCTCTTTTTTAAGTTTTACACTGTTTCCTTTCACATTTATGTTTTAAAACCACCTGGAGCTGATTTTTGTGTACGGTACAAGGTAGCCACTTTTCATATTCTTTTTTTTATAGTTTCTAAAATGGTGAGGAGAGAACAGACCCTTTCTAGAGACTCTAGTCTGCTGCCCCTGTTAGTGCACTGACATCACCCAAAATATTGGCAGAATTCCTCACTCACTGATTCACTGCCTGTTGCTTAGTCCTAGTCCTATTTCAACCTGTTTTTTCCAGGATGAAAGTTGTATGTACAACCCAACAGGCAAGGCAGCTAAGTGCAGAGGGTACAGAGAGATCCCTGAGGGAAATGAAAAAGCCCTGAAGAGGGCAGTGGCCCGAGTGGGACCCGTCTCTGTGGCCATTGATGCAAGCCTGACCTCCTTCCAGTTTTACAGAAAAGGTAAGGCACTGTTCCTACGGAGCACAATCAACCTTCTCTTATGACGTGGGCTGGGCAGCTTCTCGAAGGGTACTGAGCATTTTCAGTACTTGTTTCCATAAAGACTGAGTCTGCCAGGGAGAAACAGCTGCCACAGCACAGAGCATCTCTTTTGTAAGCCCTCCTGACTGGGATGGGATTCTACAGAGGGTTTCCTAGAGTGGGAGACCTCACAGGGCGACCCTTGGATTGCAGAAAGCTTCACCTTGATAGTTTGTTTCCTAGGTGTGTATTACGATGAAAACTGCAATAGTGATAATCTGAACCATGCAGTTTTGGCAGTGGGATACGGGATCCAGAAGGGAAACAAGCACTGGATAATTAAAAACAGGTAATGATGGGAACACTACATGTCATCCTCTTAACACTCACCCTCAACTCCAACTTCCCAATATTCCTTTCTTTCTCTTAAATCAAGAGAAAGTTTTCTCAGATGTTTCAATTCTACCTTCCCAATCAGAGGCTATTAATTCTAACATTTAATGCCCAGACAAGAGTACTAAAGGTATGTGTTGGGCAGCTGCTATATGTTCAAGGTACTTAGTCACATACACAAACACATGAGCAGATGTCTGTCTTCAGTGATCTCATTGCCCCCTAAGAAAGACAGACCTAGCTAAATGAGAACATAAAGTAGCACCAAGAACCAGCAGGAGCTTTGGAATTGTATTTTTTTCTTTCTTTTCTCTCTAATGTGATTGATTTTTTTAGAGAGGTTTCCATCATCAGTCTGTCTATAAGCACTAGGGTACAGTATAAACAAAGTAAAAGTTTAGTATCCTCTTGTGCAGCTTTTTGCCCTTCCAGATACACTTAGGATAGACATATATAAGAACTGGCCAAAGATTTTGAAGTCTGTGAAGAGAAATGCTTTTCAGAAAGTGGATATGAGCAACAACAACAAAAATTAGTGTTTCCCTCTCTATTATTGGGAACAAATAAAACTACACGTTATTAGTAGTTGGCTCCCCATTTCTCTTTAGCCCCTTGTGACTTTGTAGGGGCGCAGATTTAGGATAGTTATTCTTTTTCTTTCCTCATTGGTCAACACCAGCCTAGCAGTAGCCCTGATTAAATTTTCTGTCCTTGGTGCCCTCCAAAGAGCAGGGGTCCTAGACTCTGGGGAGTGCACAGGCCAATGCAGTAGTATAACCAAGTTGGATTTGCTGCCTGGAGGGCTGGCAGGATAGAATGTAAGGCTGGGAGTTGCTTCAAATCTGAAGCAACTTTTTATATCACAGTCCCAATTAAGAGTGAACCCGAGCACCTTTCTAAGAGGATGTTCCTTCTCCCACAGCTTCTGTCTTGTGTCCTCCCTTTCTCGACTCCCAGCGCAAGCACTTACCCTTTCCTTTCTTGATCAAGTGCCAAGAGAGCTGGGAAGAATAAAGGACACACCTAGGCAGGACCAGGATCATTGGGGACCCCTGGAGAAGGGAACAGCGGTAGGGTAAAGGTCTTAAGTAAAATGTACCGGGTAACTGGTGAATTTTCTGGTTGGGGAAAAAGGACAAAAAACTCATGAAAACAATTTAGGAAGATGTATAGACCAATCTTCCCTCTCTCTGTCTCTGTCTCTGTCTTTGTCTACATGTATCTAATCTTCCAGTCTCTCCACTTGACTCCTTAGCACTCTCATCAATTCTCATAGTTTCTTTCATTTCTTCTATGAAACCAAGATCACCAGCTTCAGCCTCTCTTGCCTCTTTCTTATGCTCTAGACTCACGTTTTCAAGATTAGTCTTCATAAAACACAAGTTGAATGATTTTACTCTCCCAATCAGAAAACTTCAGTGTCTCCTCTACTATCATGGGCCAGAGAGTCAAACTCTTTAGCCTGGCAATAAAGATCACTCAACCTGATCTCCCACTACACCCTGTCAAGCACCCTGTTTTTCAGCTACATGATCCTACCACATGTCCCATGCTTTCCTGCCTCTATTACTCATTTCATACTCCCCTGCTGGCTTCCATTTCCACAGGTCCAAATTCTATCCGCCTTTGGGCTCAGCTCAAATGCCACCTTTTTCTTAAGCCCTTTTTGATCCCCTTGGTCAGAAGCAATTTCTCCTATAGCACTATGCCTCCATTTCTTGACTTTAAACTGTTTAAAGGTAAAAACTGTCTTATTCATTTTTGTAAAACATCAGTACCTATACTCAGGTACAATACTCAGTAAATGTTTTATTGAATAAACTGAGGGTACTAAGTATTTTCCTTGCTTGGTCCTACAGCTGGGGAGAAAACTGGGGGAACAAAGGCTATATCCTCATGGCCCGGAATAAGAACAACGCTTGTGGCATTGCCAACCTGGCCAGCTTCCCCAAGATGTGACTTCAGCCAGGCAACCCCATCCTGCTCTTCCATTCCTTCCACAATGGTGCAACATACTGATATACCTTGGAAGGGAATTGGTGTGCCTTTCTTGAAGAAGATGTAATGATACAGAGATTGTTCAGTTTCCATGTTTGTTTGTGCTTCAAGTGACACTCCTACTACTTTTCTTCTCTCCACCCAAGGTCTTTATTTTTTCATTAGAAATAGGAAATTTCCCTAACAGGTATGCATTCTTAGGCTAAGAGATGTGACCACAGCCTGCCCTGACTGTGTTGTCCTGGGGCCAATGCTGTGTAAATAGAGGCTAGAGATCTTCAGCTAGGCTAGATTCTCATTCACAGGGACTAGTTAGCTTTAACCACTCTAGAGGACTAAGGTGACCTGACTTCTCAGTCTCCATATTTACTTCTATATCTTCAAGGTAGAAATTCCACCCCATTAATAAATCTATTCATAAATCTTTGGTACAAGGTTACATGATACAACAAATGTGTTTTGTTTTTCCTTCTTTGCATTTATAAAGTAAACTGTATTTATCGCTTATCTCTAATTTAATAAATAGCTATTTAGTAAATGTTCCTTTTGTGTCAGATACCATGCTAGGTGCTGGAGACAAAAAGATGAACAAAACATATTCCTTATATGTGATGTGCTCACAATTTGGAGATTCTGCTGCATAAACAATTTGTCCTAATTCATTTATTTGTTCATTCCTTCAACATTTTTATTATTTTTTAATAGATCTTTATTGGAGTATAATTGCTTCACAATACTGTGTTAGTTTCTGTTGTACAACAAAGTGAATCAGCCATATGCATACATATATCCCCATATGCCCTCCCTCTTGAGCCTCCCTCCCACCCTCCCTATCCCACCCCTCTAGGTCGTTGCAAAGCACCGAGCTGATCTCCCTGTGCTATGCTGCTGCTTCCCACTAGCTAACTGTTTTACATTTGGTAGTGTATATATGTAGATGCTACTCTCACTTCACCCCAGCTTCCCCCTCTCCCGCTGTGTCCTCAAGTCCATTCTCTATGTCTACGTTTTTATACCTGCCCTGCAGGTTCATCAGTGAAATGAACATTTTTTTTTTTTTTAGATTCCATATATATGTGTTAGCATATGGTATTTGTTTTTCTCTTTCTGACTTCACTCTGTCTGACAGACTCTAGGTCCATCCACCTCACTACAAATAACCCAATTTCATTTCTTTCTATGGCTGAGTAATATTCCATTGTATATATGTGCCACTTCTTCTCTATCCATTCATCTGTTGATGGACATTTACAACCAACATTTTGAAAGTGCTTACTCAGTATTAAGAATTGTACTAAGAGACTGGTTCAAGATGGTGGAGTAGAAGGATGTGTGCTCACTCCCTCTTGCGAGAGCACCGGAATCACAACTAATTGCTGAACAATCATCGACAGGAAGACAGTGGAACTCACCAAAAAAGATACCCCACATCCAAAGACAAAGGAGAAGCCACAATGAGATGGTATCAAGAGCTGCAATGGGGTCTAAAGATTCTTCTCAACCACTCCTGTTCCTTTTCCCATTACCCTTCAGAAGCACTGACCCCCAGTAATTGTCTTGCACTTCTAATTCCCTCTTGGTGTCTGCTTCTTGGAGGACCTGAACAGACATAGCCTATAAATAACAGAAGACTAGTATCTAGAACGTATATGTAAAAACAAACAAACTACAGATTGATGAGATAAAAACAAATAATAGAAAATTAGGCAAAAGACACAAACAGGCAATCCACAGAAGAAATCTAAAAAGCCAATGAATACAGGAAAAGATGCCTGATCTCATAGAGAAAGCCAGGGCGTTGCAACGAAAACCCAAAGCAGCTAAACAAACAAATAAATAAATATATTTAAAAAAAAAAAAAAGATGAAGTACTTACCCATCTTTAGAGACTTTCCCACATGTGCATAAGGAGACACACAGAAGAATACATTGCAGAATTATTTGAAAGAGGAAAAGAACCTAGAACAATCTAAATGTACAGCAAGAGAAAAATGGATGAATATATTGTGAAACAGATATGCTACGGAATATCATACAGCTGTGAAAACAAATAAGCCACAGCAAAAATTTCCACGTGGAATGGAAGTGAAAAACTGACTTTTGGCTGTGAAAAGTCCTAATAATGTATACTTTATTTATCTTGAAAAGTTAAAAAAAAAGAAGTTAAAAAAACCAAAAAGACTTGTTTATCATCTAGTCTACAGGAAGCAAGTTGACAAGTACTTTTGATGTGATTCGTCTTGGCCACACTAGCTGCTGAAGGAGACTAATTATGATTCTGTAAATCTTTCATCTATTAAAAACAGACAAGTGTAAAAAAAAAGAATTATACTAAGTTTCAGGGATTAAATGGATATAAAAATATTTCAATATTTAATTCTATCTGTATGGGGACCAGATTAAGTGACACATGAACCTATGTCTTGAAAAATATCTTAAGGCCCTTTCTGAGGTTCTGGAACCTAAAATTTTGCTATCACCAAAAGAGGAGATTGAAACTCTTTATAGTGATTCCCAAGCAGTATCAATTCTAAAAGAACTTAGCTGGCTAATAATAAATCAGCACAACTAGTTTTGCCATTTTTCACAGAATGTTTATTGAGCATCTGTTATTACCACTAGAAAGAGTTCACATTTATTGAATGCTTACCATGTGTCAGGCGCTACTTTATTTCTTGCTGTGCAAAAATTATTTATTTTTGTGTGTCAGTATTTATTACCATGTGGTAAGCAGTGTATTTAAAGCTACCAGGATGAAACAAATTAGTAAGACATGGCCCTGACTTCTATGAATGTTATAGACTAGTGACAGGCATATAAACAACTGATATCAATATTATTAATAATATCAACCATAATAAAATAAATATGAATTATGGAAGCTCAGGAATGAGTCATTCTTAATCGATTTTAGATGTGGTTTCATTGAAAACAGCTTTGAAAAATCTCAGTGAGCAGAGAAGACTAGGGATTGGGGTGGATGAGGGATTGGAGAGATTTGGGTTGGGGGTGAGGAGTAGGGTTAGAGGAGGGAGGGCGGCATATCAGGCTGAAGGTTCTGGGTGAACAAAGGCACCAAGAAAGCTGTGTGTATGAATAGTAAGAGCTGCAGTGGCTCTAAATATAGGGTGCACACTCATATACATGGTAGAGCTGAGGACAGAAAGTAGGTTGGAGGTGAGTCCTGGAAGGCCTTGAAAGCCTCTCATGTCCCTAGAAGTTCATATTTTATTTTATAGACACTCAGGCATTTAGTGGGCATCAAATATTTTTTAGTAGGAGAAAGACACTATCAGATCTATATTTTAGCAGTATTCCTCTGGCAGTGGTGTAAAGAACAAATAACAGATGAAGAACAAAATGGAGATGCAAGAAATTGGAAAATCAACATTTAGGAGACACTGCACATACTCTATTTCTTCTCAAAGAAAGAATACTTAATGGAAGAATGATTCCTGAACTTTTTTGAAGCTTGGGTATGGGTTTGGCAGATTGGGAGATGTAAAATGGCATTCAGACACAAAGAACAGTATACTGAAATGTATAGGCATGAGAGACCACATTCGATAATCTGCAAGTAGTTTTTGTTGAGCTTTGTAAAGACCAAAGACAAGCTTGAGAGATGTCTGACTTCCAACTAGGCAAATTTACACATTTCTATTATTTTGATTTCTTTTTTTTTGTCTTTCTGCCTAAAGAACATCCCTTAGAACTTCCTTTTGTATGGATATGTGGGCAACAAATTTATTTCATTCCTGTATGTATTTGGGTTTATTTCTAGATTTTCTATTCTGGTACATCAATATGTATATCTATCCTTGGCCAGTATCACACATTTATAATGTTTTAATATCTAGTCAGGTTAGTCTTCCCCTTATTACTCTCTTTTTTTAGATTTTTTCCTGAAGATTCTTGCTTTTTATTTTTTCCATGTGATCTATTGAATTAGCTTGTCAAGTTGTCTAAAATTCTGCTGGTATTTTTATTTGGATGACATTAAATTTATATCTCTAATTAGGGAAAATTGACCTCTTTATACTATTGAACCTTCCTATCTAAGAATAAGAGGTGCCTTTATATTTTGTCAAGTATTCTTTTGTGCCCTTCTTATAGATATTGCCCATTTCTTGCTAACCTCTTTTCTAGGGAGTTTATCTTTTATTATTTTTGCAGTTTAAATGGGGTCTTTTCCAATATAATTTTTAATTGGATGTATATTTGAAAGCTATTGATTTCTATTATATTAGTTTTTGTACTCAGCTACCTTACCTTGAATTCTCTTTTGGTTTATACATTTTTCAGTTGATTCCTTTGATTTTTTTTTTTTGAGTATGTAAGCATATCATCCACAGAGGTAAATTTTACCTTTTTCTTTCTCATTTTTACCTCTAATTTCTTTCTTGTCTGTTTGCATTATGTAATATCTCCAAAATGATGCCAAGTGATAGAATTGATAGGTCTTGACTTAGAAATATGATTATTTTTATAGATGCATGAAATTCCCTTATAAAAATGTATATAATTTATTTAATTAAACTCCAGTAAATGAATATCTATATTCTTTCCAGTGTTCTCAGTTACAAATTATACTGTAATTAATGATTGATATTTTGACACAAAGAAGTTTTAAAATTACTATAAATCAAATCTGTTATTACATATTTTTTATTTCTTTCATAATAACAACATTAGCTAACATTTATTGAGCTTAACTATGCAGCCCATACTGTGTTAAATGCTTTACATATCCTTATTATTGCCATTTTACAGATATCGAATAGCTTCCCCAAGGTAACCTAGCTAGTAAGAGGCTGAGCCAGGAAGCAGACCAGGTCTTTTTTATTTCTCTCTCTCCTTTTATATATTTTATTATTTATTTTTATTTTTAACTTGGTTATAGAATATTTTAAACATACATATGAAAGGTGAGAGAGAGTAGTAGAGTGAAGCGCCATGTACCCATCATCCAGTGTTAACAATTATCAACATTCTCCAGTCTTGTTTCATCTATCCCGCCTCATTTTTTTTCAGTATTTTAAAGCAAATCCCAGATACTACTTTACTCATATAATGAGGGATTATGTGTAATCCCTCATTATACATCTCTGAGTCAGAAATTTTTTAATATAACCACCATGCCATTAGCACATCCAACAAAATTAATAATTATTTCTCAATATCATTTAATATTTAGTCCATTTAAAAGCCTCTCCGATTGTTTAAGGTGTCTTTTTACTGTTCATTTACTCAAATTAGTATCCAAACAGTTTTACACACTCATTTAGTTGTTAAGACTACTGTATTCTTTGACAGTCACCTCCTCACCCTACACTCCCCCCCAGACACACATACTTTTTTTTCCCTTGTAATTGATTTTATGGAGAAGCCAGGTCATTTGTCCAGTAGACTCTCTCATGCTCTGGATTTGGCCGATTGCTTGCTCTTTCTGAATCCAAGGTCCTAGTGCTCTTAGCTACCACAATATACTCTATTTCTCATTATCCTTCATAGATGTTGTGAGGAGTAAATGAAAACTTAAAAGTGACAGCCCAGTAACTTTTTTAAATTTAATTTTATTTGTTTAGTTTTGGCTGCTTTTGGTCTTCCTTGCTGCGCGTGGGCTTTCTCTAGTTGTGGTGTGCGGGCTTCTCATTGCAGTGGC